GTTTTTGTCTTTCCCCCAAGGATTGCTTACGTGCTCATGCCTGTGTGTCTCATTGCTGTCTCCTCTCGCCTGACAGTTTATTATTTTACTTTTATGAAAGTATAGGAGCCAAACTGGATACAAAGTTTTCAGAGTAGTTGGATAATTGTTCTGTTGGTGTGTTTTTTAAATTCTGAGGGAAAACCTCAGTTAAGATTCCAGTTAGAGTGACTGTGAAAAGCACTGTAAGACAGGTTGTCTTCCGCTCTCCCCTGGAACCTGCTAGTCCCATGCGCGGCCTGAGCTCTCAGGAGACCCCGGTGAAGGGGAACATGGGCTCGTGGGGATGTTCCAGGTGTGGGGATATCTAAGGAGGGCAGGCTGGCGTTTGTGGGCGGGTAAGGTGTGTCCTCTGCCACAGCTCAGGATGTAAAAGACCAAATCATGATTAGATCTCTGTGTAAATTAAATTATGCCCTGGCCTTTTCAGAGCCTCAGGCCTCTGAAGGATGAGTTCAAGGAGCGACAGGCACAGGAGGAGATTCCAGCCCTGAGGGAGAAGGTGGAAATTGAGGTGAGCTGATCCCCCAGGCCCTTCTTCCCAGAGCCTGCCCAAAACCATGTTGGCGTCTAACCAAGCCTCTCATTTTTGCTCTGTGGTTTTGGGAAAGTTGAAAACCATCAGGTCCTATATTTTCAGACCTTCCGCCAACACATAAAAGGATAGAATGGGGTTCTTGGGGGAGTCAGTGAGGCTGCTGATATGCGTGTGTGCAGTGTCACATTTGCCTGGGATCTTTTCAAAATGCACACAGCTGTGTCTCCTGTTCCAGCCCTTGGCCTCCTTTTGACTCCCACCCAGTTCAAAACAACTCTTAGAAAGTGTGACGACCTATGGGACTTGAAGATATGTGGGATGGATCCTGTGGTGGGTGGCAAATATTTCACCACTGGCGCTATGGAACTAGAAAATCTTTGATTTGTAGCATTTGCTGTTTTCTGTGATGTAAATAGTCCCACCATGGCCGATTTCATGCTACCACTTGAGGTCAACAAATATGGAATTGGGGATTTGTGTCTAATCTGCTCTCATGAGCTGGTTGGAGGTGGCTCTGGCCACCACTGGATGTGTCAGCACAGTCCAGTTATGTGTGGTCTGTGTCACCGATAATTAGCTCCACGTCAAGGAAGGGCCTTTGGCAGTCAGTAATCATGCTGTGCTTCTGTCTCTCCTCTGCAAGGTTGTTGAGAAAGAGCTTCGTGGCTAATAGTCAGCAGTAAAGTGTTTCCACCGCTGGGCGTTTCACCAGCCTCACATTAAAAAGCCATCTTTTTCTATGAAGTCTGTTCACATCCTTTGCCTAGTTTCACATCTTTTGCCTGTTTTTCTATTGATTTCCTTACCAATTCCTGAGTTCCCATAAGGCCTGGAAGNGTTTCACATCTTTTGCCTGTTTCTCTATTGATTTCCTTACCAATTCCTGAGTTCGCATCAGGCATGGAAATTAACCCAAACTGTTGTCCTGTTGTGACCATTTTCCAGTTTTCTATTGGTCTTTCAATGCTGTTTAACAGGACCTTGGCCATACACTTTGAATAATGTTTATGTAGTCAAAGTTTTCAAATTATTAGTCTTTTCTTTATGGCCATTTTGAGATTAGAAGAAAATTTCTGTTTTCTTTCAGTACTTTTATTGCTTTATGTATTTATTTATCGTTCATTTGGCAGATTATGAACAGGGCTGGAGAAGCCAAGTGCCTTACTGGAGTGCACACAAGGCATGGATAGTACCAGGGGTGAGATCAACTCTCGCCAGGCAGGGGAACGCAAAGCCTGTGTGCACTGTGTTCTCAGACATAATTTCTTAACCAGCAGCCTTTTCATAAGTTAACAGCCTCCGATTCAGTGGTCAGATACACTCCTGTGATGAAAGGCACTTACTGAGCTCCGTCTCCTAGACCTGGCCCAGTGCCTCTTCACCTACTGCTCACGATTCTCTGCCCCATCCAGGCTCACCTGCCCTTCTGAGCCCCAGGTCCGTGCCGAAGGGCATCTTTCCCCAGATGTCCCCCGCATGGCCTCAGGTCCTCGCCATGGTTCTGATAGCGCCCTGCACACGGCTTCCATGGGCTGAGCACCCACTGCCACTGTCTAGCCCCCTCTTTGTGTACCTGCACCCCTTGCTGTTTCTGCTTTTCTGTCCTCCCAGCCATGCCTCACCCAGGTAACATTCCTACCCTCTTCCCGCTGCTTTTCTTTTCACTGTTCACCCCCACAACACGAGGCTCTTCACTGCTGTGGCCATTGTGGTCTGGTCCAGAGGTTTCTTCCTTATGTTACCAGAACCCATGTTTGTAAATATGTCAGTTAGGAATGTATTGGCTAAACAGAGCACAATAGACCCTTAGGGTGTCTGTTGCTGGCCTCAATTTTGCAGCAAAATTATACATGAGAAACTCAGACTCTGGGTGTCTTTTTATCATCTTCCGAATGTTTAGTTTTCTCGTGTTTGACGCTCATAGTTGCAGGATGGCTGCCATGGCCCCAGCTATCAGAACCATATCCAGTTGGGAAAGTTAATGAAAAGGTCAAATCCTGAGACTTCTGCTTCTATTCTGTTGGTCTCAGCTGTGTCTCATGGGTAGCTATAGCTGTAGGGAAGCCTAGGAGGTGAGTCATCTCTTTAATAGTGTCTGGAATAGAGTTAGCAAAGCAAGAAAGCGTTGGATGAGCCATTAGCCAGAAGCTAATAGGAAGCCACTCCAATTAAGCAGGAGAGGGGATCCGCTGTGTTTGTCCACAGGGCGTCTCCCAGAGCTCCAGGTAGGGAGCAGCTGGGTGTGGGAGGAACCTGGGACCAGAGACAGGAACACGGTCAGGAGCTTCCCTCTGCTGCCTGTCTTGCTCCTTTCTCCATGTCTACTTCTAGTTTTCAGTTGTGACTCTGAGGACCAGCTTGCATTCCTTATGTGTTCCACGAGGCAGAACAAAGAAGGACACACACAAACCAAGACACCCCAACCCAAGAGCAGTGGGGTGCCGACAGCTCTTGCCTTCACACATTTGCAGTCCAGGATTCTCTGCCCAGACCCGGACAGCCAGCTTTGGCTGTGGCGTGGGGCCACACTGTCACATGTGGCTGCCCTGTCCACGTGGACCGAGGGAGAAGCAGCACTTTCTGGAAAGGGGGTTTGAGCAGATAATTCAGTGACTGTCCCCATTATGCCTCCATCCACCTAGGGGGCACTCAGCTCAGATGTCCACAGTACAGGATGGGCACCTACCTGGCCCTGGCTGTTTCCACCCATTGTACCAAGAGTACTGACTGTGTGCCTGTCCTACTCTGCTTCCATGGGGCTCCGACCTTCAACCAGTCTTGCCTCCCCACCATGGGAAAATAAAGCATGGTTCCATTCAGATTGCTGCCTTTCAGCCTCGGTGCCATCCCCTCACATACAGAAGGCAGCAGGTGTGTGGGTTTGGGCCGGTGTACTGAGCGCCCTCCAGTTCTAAGGGGGGGTGTGGAAGCAGTGGCTGTCCCTTCTTCACGGTGCTAGGCAGAGTGACTCCTTGAGCAGAGGTCCCTGCTGGCTGTAACCCGCTCTCTTCTTCATCTCTGCAGAGCCAGACGGTGTGTCACAGGAAGGAGGAGGGTAAGTCTGCATGGGATGGTCTGTGTCATGCCTGGCGGTTGTCCTGGCTTCTTCTCTTTCCTGCCCCACACCACTCGATATATAGGATGGGGGTGAAGGTGTATGGGGTCAGGCTCTCTGGCTGGGCGAGGGAGGGTAAGAAGACCTTTGCTTCTGGGGCAGACAGGGCTCCTCCTTGTAGCAGCAGGGTTTCTTGCCTGGCCTGGTCTTCTCTGGAGGGAGGTGGAGAAGTGGGAAAAGGAAAGGATCCTGGGGGAAGTGATCGATGGAGCAGAGCCCAAGAACCCGTTCTTTCTAATTCACCTTGCCTGTGGTTTAGGCCATGGACCTTTGCCTGTTCCCAATGTATAGCAAGTTCACCCCGAACCTATGTGACTGTGGCAGGTTTGGAATATCACTCGTTTTGGGGGGGCTCTGGTGTGCTGGGGTTGTGTGCACGTGAGTGTGTGAGTGTGTAATGGAGTGCAGGTGCTAGCATGTAAAGGCAGGCCATAAGACAGGGCGGTGCTCTTGCTTGGAGACCTTGACCAGCTTCTTATGAAACTGGCCCCTTTTACTCCACCCTGCCTCCCCTGTCCTATCCCTAGAGCTACCCCTCTGCCTTTTCTTGCAATCCCACAGTCTCCTCCCATGTCCTGCCTTGAGGCTCCACATTTCTTTCCCAGTCTTGCAACCAGTTCAGAGAGGCACTGTTCCTATGGCCCTGAGCTTCCCAGGGTGGGGGCTGGATATGTGCCATGTGCTTCGCCAAGCACTTCAGGTTCCTGGTCTCATTACCTGATCCCCATGGTTTCAATGTGGGATGGGCATTAACATCCTCATTTCTGAGGTGAGGACGCTGAGGCCGAAGGAGGTTCAAGGACTGGCCAAGGGGAGCTCAGCTAGAGAGGGGCAGGGCTGGCCTGTGAACTCTGCTCCTTCTGCCTCCAGATCCCGTGGCTGTGACCACCACTCCATCCCACCTGTTGCTGGGAAAGATGACTAGAGGGCTCACTTTTTCCGACTAGTGCCCACATGCAGTCCCACCTTTTCTCTAAGTCTCACATGGGTCCTGGGCATTGGAGGCACTAAATGCTCCTTCTCCTCAGGGAGCTGTGGGGGCCCGAAGGCTGTGGACACGGAGAAGGGCTCTTCCAAGGGAGGCAGGCCCTCATTTTCTTCCCCGGTGTCCAAGGCTGAGAACAGATTTGCAGCCCTCTCCTTGGTCAAATTGTAGCTCCTTAATTGTGCCTGGCCACCTGAACCTGGGTGAAGGGAACTAGGGCCTGAAGGCAGAGGGGTGTGCAGTGAGAAGCAGGTCTCCCTACTCCCAGGCTGCTGGGCTCCACCTCCAGAAGGTGTGCTCAGTCGGGCTGGAGCGGGATCTGAGAATCTGTGTTTTTAGTGAGTTGCCAGGTGCAACTGGTGCTGTGGCTCACACGGGGAGAACCGTTGCTCCAGAACAGTCGGTTCTCAGGCTTGGCTGTTTGCTAGAAGATCTGGGAGTATACAAAATAAATATTAAGGCTGGGGCCCACCCTCAGAGACTCTGATGAAATTAGCTTGGGATGGGGCCCAGGTGATTCAGACATTCAGCCAAGTTGGAGTTGACCACCCTCCACTGTGACATTTTTGAGTGTTTTCCGCTGTGTCCCCGGCACCCAGCCCTGGCCTGTTCACACTCACATTACTTCTCAGTAAATGTCCCTTGAGTGCATCAAAGGGCTGGTCCAGCTCCAAGTACAGGGTCTCCCCCCTCTCCCCCACTGGACCAGAAGAGCTGTTCTCCGTGCTCCCTGTCTCACCCTGACCTGTCCCTTGATAGCAAATTTNCCAGAAGAGCTGTTCTCCGTGCTCCCTGTCTCACCCTGACCTGTCCCTTGGTAGCAAATTTCTTGTAATTCCTAATTGTGTTACACTCTGGGTCGGTACATCTTAAGGTGTGTTCTGTGGCTCACCTCTGTCAGAATCATCTGGGCAAGTTAAAATGCAGACTGCAGAGCCATTCCCCAGACCTTCAGAACCAGATTCTGGAGGGNCTTCAGAACCAGACTCTGGAGGGTGGGACCAGGGAATGTATGTGGCTTTTGAACCCTGTGATCCAGATGTTAATGCAACTGGAGGGAGAGCACCTGATCTGAACAGTAAAGTTGAAGAGAGCATGGACCCATCTATCCTGTGCACTATTTTATCCCCTTAAAGGGGACAGATTTTGACACAGCTGTGGGGAGAGGGCGTCAGGTGGCACCAGTATTAGGCTGGAGCTGGCAGTGACAGGGCCTGGGATCTGGGATCAGAATGGAGTCAGGAAACAAGCTGCTGCCAGGACTCAAGTGCCTCACAAAACCCTGGAGCCCCGCGTTTTCTCTGGGAGCAGGACTGAGCCCATCTCAGAGGTTCAGACTGGAAGGGAAAGGAATCCTTAGGGTGGGCAGGGGTCTGAGGTGGTGGTGCCCAGGAACAGAAACAACAGTTTGTGACCCAGGGATGGACACTGGGACAGTGTCCCTGAGCTCACGGGCGGGAGCCCGAGCACACGGGGTGAGCATGAGCTAGGTGGGTGCAATGGGGCTGTGGGAACACAGGTTCTGGGCACCAGACTGACCTTGTTGATTGCCGTGTGCTGCAGAGCTGGAGGACTCCTTGGACGAACGGGAGAAAGTTCTGGAAGCTCCGAAGGGAAAACGCAACTTGCTGAAGCGAATCAAGCGAGCCCTGCATCACACCATTCCAGAAAGAAGGGTAAGCAAGGGGGTAAAGAAAGTAAGTTCTTAAACTGAAAAGGCACGATCGTTCCTTACATTCTAAGCTTGT